TATATACTGAAAGCATCATACTTGATCCAGCTGGGCAGCCAGAATTAAGAAACACTATTATAAAACTTGCAGGAGACGGTTCATCTCTTCTTTCTTTCACCACAGCCAAGATAGGGCAAGAAAATGGAGACAAGGGTATGGGAAAGAGAGAAGGAATAAGTTACCTTTGCCACCTGGCTTTTGAGATGAGAAAATGTGTCAGTCCAAAGCTCGGCAAAACTGCAATGTAAATAGGATTGGGTTGCCTTTGTTACTCCTCTATGACTTATTTTTCTATATTTTTCTCCTATCTTTTGGCTTTCCACCGCTTTCCTTGACCTCCAAAACATTTGAAGGTACTCATGTTGTAATACATCTCCACCTGCTTCCTTCATATCACTCAGTCCTGTTGTTTTCTGCTTATCCTTCGCTTTCCTGACAAGTAAAACTCCCAACTTTGTTTGTTTCAGGTATGCATAAGAAATGCAAGCAGCACTAAAATACTATTAGCTTTTCCCACTTAAGCCTAGTACTCTTTGCCTGATAATCTCAGCTAAGATAGTTTTGATAGGAAGCCCTTTCCCAGCATTGACTCTGCCTATAGGAGGGAAAATAAGTCTGTAGCTGCTGGACACAGCTTAACAAACCTTCCCAACATTTTTTTCTTGTCTAAATCCTGGGGCCAAAAATGTCATATCAACTCAGTGAACAATGGCAACTTCCACTCTAGAGAAGGAAAGGACCCACGAGCAATGCTTGAGATCTGTTAACTGAGAGACTTCCATTTCCAGAGTGTGAAATTTGTAGGTGTTTAGTTTAATCTTCGCAGAAGATCCAAAGATTATTTTATGAATGGCTAAGTATTAAATAAATAAACTAAGAGAATCAAGAAGAGATTCTGGGGAAATGATTTGTGGGTAAACTGAAATGAAAAAACAGAGGTCTCATTCAGTCTAAAAACTACTTTTCTATCCACTGCAATGATCATTAGGATTACCATTATCACTGCCTCTGAGAAAGACACAAGGAAAAACAGGATGGGAGAAAAGACAAAGAGAAACAGTAACTATGAAAGGCAAAGAGAATGAAACGATTTTGAACACTTACTACCCCATGCCTTTGTTTACTGCCTGCAATACCTTTTCCACTTCTTTGTCTGATTAACTCCTGCTGACCTTTTAAGACACAGTGGGTATTGCCACCCTGGGAACTCAACATCAGCTCCCATCCCTCCCTCAAAGACTGGGCTACATGTTATTCTGCTATAAAACACAGGTGTAATATTCTGTCTTATAGTACTTACTACATTCCTTTGAAACTAATGTTTGAAGATCAGAAAATATAAACACTAGCGCCCATATTTTGTGTTCTCCAAACTTTACATTGACCCGACCAACTGTTCATTAAATTTTGGTTTGCTGAAAGAAAAGTACCACTATTTTAAGAAAATATAACTATTTAAGACTGAATAAATAAAAAAAATAGCATATGAAATACCTTGGAATCATTAAAAAGAATAAGGCAACATCCTATGTGATGATATAGAAAGATCATCATAATATGTTAAGTGAAAAAAATAAGGTAATAAACTGTTTATCTTTTGGTTCCCTAAAACATAAGAATATAGAGTGTGCACATATATGTATACATTTTCTTTCCTGGAAAAACACACAAGAAACCAAAAATATGGGTGGGGAAAGTTTTATTTTCATTTTAAAAATCTTTCTATATTATTGAAACTTCGTATTCTAAATTCTAAATGATTTTTTACAAACAAAGTTACTAACAGGGACTATCTTGTTCCTAGGATTAAGGGCTATTTTTTTTTTTTTTTAAATCCCTTGAGGGTGAAGATGATATCTCTTACATTTTAATATCATCACTGCTTAGCACAGTATGGAACATAGGGGGCATTTGATGAATGTTGAACTACACTGAACTCTGCCTGTCATCTATTTGAGTCTTTTACTTCTTTCCCAAAGTACTTTTATGAGCCCCTCCCTCATCTCTCTTTATTGTACATGAAGTGCCAAGTACCATGCCTTGAAGACAGTAGCTGGCCAAGAAACATTAATTCAATCATATTATCTCCTACCAGTATGAAATACAGCCACAACTAAACTACAAATTTTGATTCAATTGTGGGTTAGTAAATAAACATCCCAAAGTGACAGAACCAGCTAAGGCGATCACTCCAGAGGGAGAATCAGGTGTGGAAAAATGGGTGTGACAGAGAATACAAAACAAAGCTGAAAAAGAGGATCTTGACGGTGGTGGGAAGTACTGAGATCAGGTCTGAGACCTGATTATACACAGCAATGGCTGCAAAGGTCCAGCAGGACCACAGACGGCAGTCCTAAGATGGCAGGCACTGCCTCAAGAGGAGAGAGGGGTCCTTAGGAAGGGGAAGGCATCTCTGAGGGCATGATGACCATAAAATGAAAGAGGCAAGAAGGCAGCTGAAATGAAGGACCTTTTTTTTTTTTTACATTTATTTTTGAGAGACATAGTGAGACAAAGTGGGAGTGGGGAAAGGTCAGAGAGAGAAGAAGGCACAGGATCGGAAGCAGGCAGCAGCTCTTAGCTGTCAGCACAGAGCCTGACACGGGGCTTGAACTCACAAGCTGTGAGATCATGACCTGAGCTGAAGTCAGACGCTCAACCGACTGAGCCACCCAGGCGCCCCTAAAATGAAAGATCTTATGTTGCAGGACAGCATCTCTGAATTAAAGGACACATCGAGCATCCACACCTTCCCGCAAAAGGAGCTGATTATTAAAGAAACTCCATTTCACTGAACCCTCAGAAGAGGAAGCTCTTGAACTAAGAATCAAACCTCCGCCCTACATAGAACCTTACACTATTGCTGATGCAGGAAAACATTACTCATTTAATATTTTAAAAGCTGTTAAGACTCTGATTGTATTAAAGGTAACATTCTTCATTTCTTCTAGGGAAGATGAATAAAAAGACTGTAAAATAATGTAAATATATGGGTATATAGTTTGGTATAAACACTTTTCTAGTTTTAGGTTCACTTCCCTCCCAATTTTTATGTTGAAAATTTTTGTACTCAGAGAAAAGTTGGAAATAATGGCATAACAAATATATATATATGCTCCATCTAAATCAAACTGTTGTTAACTTTTTGCCAATTTGCTTTCTCTCACTCTGTATATGTCTACGTATTTACAACCTTACTTGTGTGCACCTTTCCCAAAAGAGAGTTTTGAAAACACATAAAAGAATTCAAATTCTATTAACTTTTATTTCATAAAAATTTTTGTCAGTTTTAAGGATGACCTCTATGTCACCCAGTCAAATTTCAGTAGAATTATACAATCATAATTTTTTTACCTCTTGAACATGACTAAATGAAAACAATCAAAACTTCCTATTTACCTGGGTTTTAAAACTGAGAAAAGCATAAATCCCATCCATATGCACACATATTCTTGACCTAAAAATTCTTAGCAAGTGGGTGCTAGATGTTGATAAAGACTTCATTATACTAATAGAAAAGAGAGCTGCTAATGTTAATAGACTGAATAACCACCTAATCTGAACCAGAGGTTTTGAAACCATACCTTATGGAGAGATATAACGTATCAAGTGGATGAAACAGAGGAATTTCAGGAGCTGCTCTGGAAAGGCCAGGGGATGCAAGTCCTCCCACAATACTCTACCTTGTTCCTCAGGTACCTTCTCAGTCCAGACAGCAGTCTGAATATTGTTTTGATGCAACTGCACAGTTATGCAGACTTTTATTTTATATTTGTTTACCTTTAATCATTTTTATTTTATTTTTTGATTTATTTATTTTTATATTAAATATATTGTCAAATTGGCTTCCATACAACACCTAGTGCTCATCCCAAAAGGTGCCCTCCTCAATACTCATCACCCCCCTTCCCCTGACTCCCACCCCCCATCAACCCTCAGTTTGTTCTCAGTACTTAAGAGTCTCTTATGGTTGCCTCCCTCCCTCTCTGTAACTTTTCCCCCCTTTTCCCTCCCCCCTGGTCTTCTGTTAAG